TGTAGTCCAAACGCCGTCAATGTCCTTCCCAAACACTATGGCCCACCACCCAAGGAATGCTTTCATTTGGGGAGAATTTCATCCTAGATTTGAAGTGTTTCCTCCACCACAGGCAGGCATCCCAGGGCTCCTTGTGTGGAATTTGCATGACCTCACCCACTGCCTCTCCCTTAACTCTACCCTACCCTTTCCTATGGCACCCAGCAAACATAGAGGAATTAATCAGCAACTGAACAGACTGGAGGGGTTTGGGGGACTGACTCGACAGGGTGGAAGTTGTAGTTCACCCTGCATCAAGGCAGAGCACCGTGCTGGCTTTTGTCTAATAAATAGTGTTACTAATTAACTACATGATATTACCTTTCACCCCAAAACAAACAATGCCTTTTTCAAATAACCCGGGCATTGCCGGGTACCCAAGCTAGTATAGAATAAGAGAGAGAGAGAGAGAGAGAGAACAAACAGTGCTAATTGTTTAGAGTTTGAAGAAACTTCCACAACATAAAGATTATGATAGTTTAAAACTTATATGAAGGGAGTCCATCCTGCCCTATTGTAATTACTTCATGAAATTATTGCTAATGCACAATATCCCTCTGATTAAACACAACTTCAAAGGAAATGCAAGACAATTCGAAATATAAAATGCAAAAAATGATTTAACTCCCCTTGGCCCCCTCTCCGCTTTTTTTTTAATAACACCCACACCCCGTGGTTATTGGGAATCATCTCACCATTGCCGGAAAGAGATTTCTTCAGCTCATTCATCAGAGGATAACGTCCACTATCACAGAATGTGCCTCTGAAGTCATCCAGGTCAACTGCCCATACAATGGCACCACCAAACTTGTTGTCCTTCACAAACTGAGCCTGCCAGCAAAACCAATTGAGATAAATGTGTAAGCAAGAGGTATGAAGAGAAAAGTGAACCAAGATGTAAGCAAAGCAGCCCTTACTTTGTATCTGAAGCTCTTTTCGTCATCATAGCCAACCCACTCAGAATTGTGGTGGGCATAGGGAACCGACTGGTCTGCAATCCACTCTGTAGTAGCACCAGTTTTCAGGAATTCACAAACCTGGAGAACAAGCATTCCATGTTAAAACTGTTAATAAATGGTGGAAAGTCTGTTTTTTTGGTGTTATGCATTCATTAAAACATTCAGTTCTACTGATGTTAGAGACGTGCATGATATTTCAACAGCTCCACTCACAGAAGGATGAATTCTGTGCAAGAAAAATCAGGCTTCATTTCCAGGTATATGGCCAAGATTGTGCATAGTGCTAGTAGATGATGGAATAATTACATTTCTAATTTTTGTATTGTGAACTGTTTTTAGTTGCATTGGTCATGAAAAGACAAAAAAATGCCAGTGCTTGGAAAAATTAATCCTAGGGGAAAGAAATCTGTCTAGCTACATTGTTGGAATTAATGAAGCTACCTCCATTTTTGGACCTTTTTGGAGCTGGAGCTACCAGGAGAATCATGATAATGACCTGCAGTTCAGCATTTTATGACTATGTTGTTGTTAACTACAGGAAAGGAGATCCCACCTAAACATTAGGAAGAACTTCCCGACTGTGAGAGCTGTTCAGCAGTGGAACGCTCTGTCCCAGAGTGCGGTGGAGGTTTCTTCTTTGGAGGCTGGACGGCCATCTGTCAGGGTGCTTTGAATGCAATTTTCCTGCTTCTTGGCAGAGGGTTGGACTGGATGGCCCAAAAGGTCTCTTCCAACTCTATGATTCTGTGAACTATCAAGTCAACTTCAATTTATGGCAATTTATGGCATCCTTATGAATAGGAGACCTCCAAGTCACTCTATCTTCATTAACTCTACTGAGGTCTTGCAGATTCAGAGGTGTCTTATTTGATTGGATCTATCCAACTGTAAAAAGATCTTCCTCTTGTTCTACTGCCTTCTTAATTGCCAGGCATTATTGCCTTTTCTAGTAAATCATGATAAAGCCAAAGTACAATAGTCTCAGTTAAATTGCATGGGCTTCTATGCAGAGTTTAGGCACGAGGGCCCATTTATATGTCTTTTTATTAGCTCACCGTATCAACAGAACTCTTCTCCAGCACCATATTTCAAATGAATTGATTTTCTTCTTATCAGCTTTCTTCATTGCCCTGCTTTTATCATCCAAATTGGTATGAACAATTCTAACTTTTGCATTCAATGACTACTATACCACTGGAAAGGACAGGTTCTGAGTCAAACACCTGGCCCCCAGGAAGCAGCTAACTGAACAGCTACCTTGTTGCATCAAGCAGAAGATATCATTCATCTTTCTGTTTCCCTAAAGACAAACCATAGGCCTATAGGAGCAGTGAAGAAAGAGGGCCCTGCTCTCAAACAAACAGCCAGATCTTCCTTAAGTAAAGGAGAGTGGATACAGCTGGACAAGACACAAAGGCAAAGAGCAGTGAGACAAGGGACACCTGGGGAAATGGGAGGTGTATGGAAAAAGAGGGTGGGGTTCGACTGAAAAGGAAGAATGCCGTGAACTGGGGATTGAGATGAAGGGACTGGAGGAATTAGACTGGTAATACCCTTGGATTTATCTGCAATGATGAAACAATAAATATTTTTGTGAGTATCTATACGCCTCCTGGGTGTTTGCTGAATGTCTGCCAGGGAACTGTTAACATTAGCTTCGCCGAGTGCTGATATAAAGTGAGTTTTTAAGGTTGCCAGAGCTGCTTAGGAGGAAGTAACTGAGGATGCTTGCCATAGATGCAGGCGAAATGTCGGGAGAGAATGCCTCTAGAACATGGCCATATAGCCCGAAAAAACCTACAACAACCCAGTGATTCCAGCCATGAAAGCCTTTGGCAATACATTGAACTTAATACTTTTTCTGTGTTTCATGTCTTTCAGATTGTAAGCTTGAGGGCAGGGAATGGTCAAATCAGTCTACGGTCAGCAGAAGTCAGAATGACTTGAAGGCAAACAACAACAAAGTGGCACAGATCTCTTTTGGGTGGTAGTATAAGTGCTCTAAATAAATATACACATAAATAAATAAACAAACCACCAACAGCCTTATTTTCAACAGCCTTACCTCCATAAATGCAAAATGTCTTTAAAAGTTGTCCAAATTGGAAGGCAGGGCTGTATCTTTCAGTAGAAAAACAAATAGTTTAATTTGGTGCTGTTTGAAGAATTACTTCCCCGCACATTCTGAAAAACCTAGGATAGTGGTGGTAGGCCCACCAAGTCTGACAAACAAACAGTTGCTCAAATTCATTGGGTTCATTACCTCATAATAAGACCAGTAGCCTTCCTCGCGTGTATATTTCCCTGCAGAACCAGGACCACTGGCAGGGGCACCCACGGATGTATCATCGCTGCTAAGTCTAAAGGTGCGTCCATAATTGGAGAATCCCATGAGAAGTTTTTCAGGAGTTGCACCTTGTTCAACCCAATAATTCATGGCCTTGTCCTAAAGGAAGAACAAGATGCATTATTACAACTACTGCTTAACTATATCACCAGTCATAAGAGAAAGAAAATATACTGTTTTCCATATTCTTACACAATTGAAATATTCATTTTCCCAAGGGTAATTATCACCAGCAAACAGGGGACTGTTGTGTCCTGTGACTTTGTCAAAAGTGCCACCATGGAAATCATAGGTCATAATGCCAATGAAGTCTAGTTTCCTGTAAGAAAATAGAATTTAGAATTAGATCAGCTCAAGGAACTCATTCAGAAAGATGTTATTGTTCAATTATTATCATCATCATCCTACTTTAATCTCAGGAACCAAGGCACAAAATTGCACCTGAGACCCAAAGAGACATTTCTTTATCTCAAGGAAATTGCCAAACAGAGCAGCCTTAATATTACCAATCAAAAAGACATTGTGCAGCTATTTTGCCTTTCTTTTTCTTTTTTTCATTGTTATGTACACATGGCAAGAAAAAGGAAACTACAGGACAACACAGAAAGTTTCAAGAGAAAGACAATGATACCATCTAGATATCCCATAACATCCTAACAATAGCTATTTAACACCCAGGCACATTTGGAATATCAGACAAAATTGGCGTTTGGGTTTATAGGTAAATGCAGTTGGGTTCAGACCTCTTTTGAAAAAAATGACATATAATGGCTTCATTCCATGAAGCTATTTTTTTTCTTTCCACTCACTCGTTTATTTTTTCAACTTCATATGCTGTATCAATTGTGTCTTTGCCAGCAGCAACTGCTGCACTAAGCAACAGTCTTTTTTTCCCAGTCCGCTTGGCTTCTGCATCAAAAGCTTCTGACAGTTCCTAGGAGAGCAAAAAGGTCCATGAGAGCTTATTAACATCACTGATTCTTAAACTGTGGGTCCCAGCCCCAAACAGGGGTCCCCTAAGCTCAGTGGTTCTCAACCTTCCTAATGCCACAACCTCTTAATACATTTCTTCATGTTGTGGTGACCCCCAACCATAAAATTATTTTCATTACTACTTCATAACTGTAATTTTGAATCATAATGTGAATATCTCATATACAGGATGTATTTTCATTCACTGGACCAAATTTGGCACAAATACCCAATAAGCTCAAATTTGAATATTGGTGGAGTTGAGGGGGGTGTTGATTTTGTCATTTGGGAGTTGTAGTTGCTGGGATTTATAGTTCACCTACAATCAAAGAGCATTCTGAACTCCACCAACAATGGAATTGAATCAGACTTGGCACACAGAATACTCATGACCAACAGAAAATGTCACAAAGCACACACCCAGGAAGTAGCACTGGGCATGTAAAACAAATGATGTCTGCCAAACAGACATGACATATTTGCCAAGGAACATGAAAGGCACTGCAGACTAATTCAACCAGAGAAGTCAGCCATAGCAGAGCACTTGGTGAACCAACCTGGACACAGCATATTATTTAGGAACACAGAAATGTTGGACTGCTCTAACAACCACCATGTCAGACTACACAGAGAAGCTATTGAAATCCACAAGCATGGGAACAATTTCAACAGAAAGGAGGAAACCATGAAAATGAACAAAATCTGTCTACCAGTATTTTTTTTAAAAAACTCTAAAATCATAACAGTAAATAAAGAACAACATTAAAAAATACAGGAATTCCAGACAAGAATCAGTCATGGCCAGCCTCCAAATGAAGGATCCCCCCAGGCAGTACTCAGCCAGGTTTTGAAGGTGCAAAGCCATTAAATGGTAATCAAGGTGGCCAATTGCAACATTCATACTTGCCTAAAGCAGACAAGAGTTCTTTCTCACACCTTGGACATTATTCCACAGATATATAAACCCCACTTGCCTTGTTTCCAACAGACCTCACAACCTCTGATGATGCCTGCCATAGATGCAGGCAAAAGGTCAGGAGAGAATGCTTCTGGAACATGGCCATTCCGCCTAGAAAACTCGCAGCAACCTAGTGATTCTGGCCATGAAAGTATTCAACAACACATCCTAATCTTAATTGTAAGATGCAACACAGAAACAGTCCAAATTTTACTAGAAACTGCAGAGCAAAATTTCAAGTTTGGGTGTATTACATTAAAACCGAAATGAGGCCCTTTCTCTTCTAAAGGGGCCATATATTATTGGGGGGGGGGGAGGCGGGTTGACAGACCCGAAAACATTTAGCCTTTATCTGATGCAAAAATGTCAGTAAGAGAATTCTTCTCACCAATGTAACCATTTCTTCTCCAGTTGGTGGACATTACCATTTGACTGTGGAACTTACTGATCTCTTACCTCGACCAATGAAGTGAAGCGTTGCTTATCCTCAGGAGGGCTACCCCTAGAACCTGGATATTCAAAGTCCAGATCAAGCCCATCAAATCTATGTTGCCGTAGATACACTGTTGCTGACTCAATGAAGGTGCGGCGATTTTCTGGTGTAGAGAGCATTTCACTGAAACTGAGGGAGGAGAATGAAATTCCTTGATTAAACAATTCTATGCAAAAAGCATTTTACACCAAATAGGATCAGGGTGGTAGGAGAGTTGGGTGGAGTGACGGGAGGTTAGTATGTGGTTACCTAGATCCAGCAAATACCGTTCCAACATTTTATTTTTACATTTATTTTTAGAGGTATGAAAGTCTGTGTTCACTGGGTAGGTACAATTTCTGAACATTTATTATTTTATTATTTTATTATGTGGATCTCTCACTGGAGTGGGAGAGATGTTATGGGGCCAGAAGGAAGGGAAGGAGGAGCAAGTGCTCACGTGATACCCAAATCTTTCACTGAATCTCCTTCTGGGACTGTCAGTGTATAAAGTGGATGGTAACACCCATAGGAAAAAAACAAGGCTATTGGTTAGAAATGTAAACTAGCAGCTGTTTCAGGACATGTGAATGAAAATAATATGATGCAATGGACACATGGACACGAAAAGATACTCTCTGTTGTCCTGATGCTACTTCTGGTGGGGAAAATGTATACCTGTCAATAAACATTCAGTTAAGATTATAAATGACGCAAACTGGGATCAAACCAGAGCAGAATACAGTACACTGCAGCTGAATTAGGTTGGAGTTCCCCATGGCGCATTGGGTTAAATCCTGACCTGTAGGTCAGGATTGCTGACCTACAGGTCAGCAGTTCAAATCCAGGGAGAGCAGGTTGAGCTCCCTCTATCAGCTCCAGCTCCCCATACTGGGACATGAGTGAAGCTTCCCACAAGGATGGTAAAACATCAAAACATCAGGGTGTCCCCTGGGCAATGTCCTTGCAGACAGCCAATTCTCTCACACCAGAAGCGACTTGCAGTTTCTCAAGTCGTTCCTGACACAACAAAAAATTAGATCATTGTAACACACAGGATTTTAGATGATCCTATAATTGTTGAAATTATTGGGGGAAAGTCATGATTGAAGCAAAGTGCAAAAAAAAGTCATCTGACCAGATGGAGAATTTAAAGTTTGGTGGATTGAACTCCACAGTGACAGAGTTAAAATGGATGATATTCTGTCCCATTCACACAGATAGAGGTTGGGCTGGACAAGCCTCACAGTCTCTTCTAACTGTGATTCTATGATTCTGTGACACTTAAAGTGGAATAATAGCAACATGATGGTACAGTGGAAATGAGTTCATGGTAAAGATAAAAATATATGTGCAAATGCAGAAAGAAAGCATGGAAGAAAAAAATAACTCTTCTTCATAATCGTTATCCTCCCATTGATATTGTCTTAACAGCTAAAGCATAGCTCTTGAGGAGCAAATAGGAAGTTTCCAAGTATACACCACTATTCTTGAAATGGCCCAACCTAAATTAGCCCAGAAGTCTCCAGTTTCCAACAATCCACTTTACCCACAACTGTGCTATTCTTCACGTCACAGTAGCCCTATCATCACTGGTCTAATCATTCCAAAAGTCAATTTAAAAAATTACCCGGAGCCAAAGTTCCATCCTCCAATAGCAAGCAGGGTCAACAGGTTTGGATTTCTGTTAAAAGAAAACAAATTTTCTGTTCAGACCAGTGCAACATTACCAACATCCTGGTGGTGATGTTGTACCAGAATTGTAAATGGACTTTTGATAGGACATGTATAGTTGCTGTTACTTCAGGGGAAATCATCGCGCGCACACTTGAGCAACCATTGGATTTACATCAATAGCATTTAAGGCTGGTCCTACCATTCAACAATATGAAGCAACTAACTTATTTAGGAAGCAGATGCTCCTATTTCTACTGCACCCCCAAACTAGTCTCCAATTCTCAGCATCGAAGTAGGGTCACCTGTTTGTCCACAGCTTCTGCACTTGGAGTTATTACATTTCATCCCCACATCTCTTTCTGCTCTGCTCACAGAATATGTAGTTAGTATCCTGAGTACTTTACAATTGAGAGGGAGTTTCCATTTTGTAAGGACAAATGTTAAAAGCACTGACTGTTATAGTCAATTTGGAACACACACTACAAAAACAGTATTTCTTCTATTCTAAAACTTCATCAATTGTAAGATGCACACTAATTTCGTACCACCAACAGAATATGAGTGTGTGTTTTAAAAAAACACCCATGATTCTAAGGTGCACCCATTTTTAGAGATGTTTATATGAGGGAAGTGCAACTAAGGCCCCTTCTACACAGCTGTATAAAATCCACATTATCTGCTTTGAATTGGGTTTGTGGCAGTGTAGACTAAGACAATCCAGTTCAAATCAGAAACTGTGAATTTTGTGCTTTGATAACCTGGTTTATCTGGCAGTGCAGAACGGACCTTAGAATCAAAGAAATGCAGTATAAAGGAAACAAGAGCACGCATAGATGTCTACTGAAGACCTGGTTATTTAAACTGGCTTTTGACAGTGATTAGTCAATCTCTAGGATATAGATTTACCTCGATGGGGTAGTAAGCCCTTTTAGCTCATAGAAACATCTGTGTTTTTCTCTAATGTTCATAATTTTATTGTTAACTAGCTATCCCCTGCCACGCATTGCTCTGGCCCAGTCTGTGTATATGTGTTTTGTGTGTGTGTGTATGTGTATATGTGTGTTTGCGTATATATATGTGGTTTTGTATATGCATTGTAATTTTTTTTCTTTTTAAGTCCCTTCCACTGTGTTTTTTAGTGTTTTATGAGTGATGGTCACTCGTTGGCCTTAGGTGTATTGTGCCCAAATTTTGTGTCAATTCGTCCAGTGGTTTTTGAGTTATGTTAATTCCACAAACGAACATTACATTTTTATTTATATAGATGATGTAGTTAGTGATGTAACACACAATGTAGCAAGGATACCCTGCTTATGCATTATTATGCATAATTGTTACTATTTTTCTTTAAATTTTGCAATGTACTCATCTGTAAAGCTACTTTTCGCTTAATGTTTGCCCCAGACATAATAGCCAATTCTTAGTGGTAATAGGAGCTGTAGTTTAGCAACATATGGAGGCCCACAAGTTTTCCACCTTTGTTCTAAGATCAAGCCAAACTACCACCTGTAGGATTGCCAGTGCAGGATTATCCTGAAATTGCAGAGATTTAGGAAACCTCCTTATTCTGTCACAAAGGGCAAGCCCTCATGATACTTCATGGATGATATGAGAAGAAATATACCCTGGTAATATCATTATGCAGCAAAGTAGCTGCACAAAGCATGCCATTCAAATAAAAACACCAAGTCTAAAGAATAAAAAAGACACATACACTTTTCAAGGCAGTGCTCTCACCCTGAGATTCCTCTTCCATTCCATAAGGAGTGGAGAAGAGGACCCAGGCCCTGAGACCTGAAAGTTCGAATCACCTAGCAATTATCTTGACTGGATCTCGTAATTTCGTTATCTATTTTACTTGGCTCTGCAGGCCTCCCAAATAATTCCTTTGCTTCTTACAAGATGTGAAAGGCTTTCCATCCCACCCAGTATTTACATCTGAACATAGCATATTTCTTCCTAACCTCTGCTTAAGTGCTTGCGTCTGAGGGTAGAGGACATCTATGTCATTCCATTCAAAAGGAGAAATCCGATTGCTTTTAATAATCGCAAAGGCAAAGGCAATATGTGTGCACAGCATGGGATCTGTATCCTTAGGGAAAAAAGTTCCTCCAGTAGGACGGTACTGGGCCCAGTTAGTGATGTAACACACAATGTGGCAAGGATAACCTGGGAAGAAAGTGGAGATTATGTGGATATTTTAAAAGAACACCAGTTTTCATTTTAGTTCACACCCATACTGTCACAGCGTAGTGTCTCTCCTGATTCTCAAAATCCTATATACCGTATATACTCTAGTATAAGCCAACCCGAATATAAGCCGAGGCACCTAATTTTACCACAAAAATCTGAGAAAATGGATTGACTCAAGTATAAGCCAAGGGTGAGAAATGCAGCAGCTATTGGTAAATTGCAAAATAAAAATAGATACCAATTAAATTACGTTAATTGAGGAATCAGTAGGTTATATATTTTTGAATATTTACAAAATGGTAATTTAAGATAAGACTGTCCACCTCTGATTAAATCATTATTTATCTTCTTCAATGTAAATGTGCTTACGTATCCTTCCAATAATAATAAAGAGAGCAACATAACAAATGTAATATTAACAACAATAATAAAAAGAGTAAAATAATGTATGTAGCAATAACAACAATTATGCAGTAAAATAATAAATGTATAATAATAGAGTAAAATGATAAATGTAATAATAATAAATAGAATAAAATAATAAATGGAATGAAAATAATAATAATAACAGAGTAAAACCTTGACTCGAGTATAAGCCGAGGGGGACTTTTTCAGCCTTAAAAAAGGACTGAAAAACTAGGCTTGTACTCAAGTACATACAGTAAATACTACTATGTTGTCCCTTTTCTATTCAAGGACCATTACTTATGCTGTAGCCTGGATCCATACAAATCTCTTTCTTTGTAAAAAAAAAATCTCTCCTCCCCAAATAATTAGTTATAAATTTCCACTTCTACATATGAACTTCCTGAGGATTGGGGTGAATGGAGAGATCCTTGCCATTTTGCCAGCTAAGCAAAGACCTCCCATCTTCAAATCCTGCAAGATCCCCCTCTTCACCGCAATCTTTAGGGGGAAAAATAAAATAAAAGCACTTGTTTAGAGTTTTGGGATTTGGGGCATAGAGTTAATTGTAAAATGAGGATTTAAGATGGAGCATTCTGGCTTCCAAACAGATATTATTAGGGCAACATTAGATTTTTAATTTTAGAGGAACTGGCCCAGTTAAGATATTCTAGGTAAAGGTTTCCCCTGACATTAGTCTAGTCATGTCCGACTCTGGGGGGTGGTGCTCATCTCCATTTCCAAGTTGAAGAGCTAGCGTTGTCCATGGACACCGCCAAGGTCATGAGGTCAGCATGACTGCATGGAGCACCATTACCTTCCTGCCAAAGCAGTAACTACTGATCTCCTCACATTTGCATGTTTTCAAAACTGCTAGGTTGGTAGAAGCTGGGGCTAACAGCAGGAGCTCACCCCGCTCCCTGGATTCAAACTGCCAACTTTTTGGTCAGGCAGTTCAGCAGCTCAGCAGTTTAACCTGCTGCACCACCKGGGGAGGGGGGGGCTCAAGATGTTCTAATCATTGTGCAAAAGGTTTTTTGATGTATGCTGGAGAACAAAAGATAAGACCTGGCCTACCAACACTGCCCAGRAGCATGTGAATTTATAAGGTGGGTGTTAATGTCAAGCAATATCAAGATTTAATTATTTGTCCCTGCCAAGATCCAATTTATTAATACATTGATATTAATTTTGGATTTGCTCTCCAATTTCTGGGGATAGTTATTCCTCAAGATCGCTGCAACGATGGAGTTAAATTATTCCATCCAGACTTACAGCAATTCAAGTAGTTATCAACATAGGTCCCTTCCACACAGCCCTATATTCCAGAATATCAYGATAGAAAATCCCACAATATCTGCTTTGAARTGGGTTATCTGAGTCCACACTGCCATATATTCCAGTTCAAAGCAGATAATGTAGGATTTTATGCCTTGATATTCTGGGATATAGGGCAGCGTGGAAGGGACCTATGTTGAATTTTCAAAACCGTATATGCGAAATACATGTGCTCTAAGGTCACATGCATTTGCCATTAGTGCAACAGGTTTTGTAATAAATCCATGATATGAAGGGGAACAGAGGGTATCTTCCCTCAATCTTCCCTTTAAAACTCTCAGCATCCTACTGCTGATGCTCGAAATATAGGCACTTTCATATACTTCCATATAAAGACTGTCAAAAGAATCAGCAAGAGTCGCACAATGAAGATTCTTTGCCTTAGCAAACTTACCACTATCAGATTGTTTTCGTAGCTGAACTGATGAATGTTGCTCAACAATGGCTTTAAGCGGGTTCAGAGCGAAGACAGGTCTATTTTGTACCTCAGGTCCCCCAGACATAAAAGTCCCTGTTGATAAACCTAAAACACATACATTGGTTATTATACTAGCACTATATCATTACGACAGTATAGTGGAAAGATTGAAAGTCAGAAAATAATAATTAATAGTACATGATTGCCAATAAAGAATAAAAAGAACTAAATATCAACCATCTTAAATCCAAAACAATGTTCTGCAACTGGTTACTGTCATTAAACATATGGTATATAGATATATATCATTTCAAACCTCTTATGCAAAATTTGCCTGGGTCATATTATAGAAAGGAGACATAAACACTTCATACATTTAAAACAACATAAATTGTCATATATACAATATTCTGCACAAATCAGCTCTACTAAAACAGGTATGCAAAGTCTGCTAACATAAGATACAAGTTGTGATCATTTTGTGGGGTCTGTATGTGTGCATTAAGCATAGGATTTGGGTTCTCATTATGGTACCCAAAGAGCCAAGGCAAACATTCACATTAGCAAAGCAGGTTTAAATACACTCTGGCTCACATTTTAAAAATGAAGGACAAAATCATCTTTCATAGATGGGAAAATAAAAGGATCTTCTGTCAATTCTTCTTCCCACTTTGACCACATTAGTACCAAAGCGGTTACGAATCAGTTTTTGATCAATTTTAGATTCGGTTTGATTATCTGGGGTGCTGATTCAGACCATTGCATTGGATACACCACATCAGCTCTAGTTTCTGATACAGAACATATGCCATCCAATAGTCACCATCTGCTTGCTCACAGAATACCATATTTAATAATCTAGAGCTGATATGGTAGTAGTAATCTTTCATGGGTAGTCGGCCTCTCCCCTCCTGATAGTCCCATTGTCTCGGCACTATAAGAGGGTTTTGCAAGACTAGTCGCTCTCGTTGCCATGTAGTTTTGAAGCAATGGTGTAGTAATGGTGAGGCTGCGGACCATATTTTCATTCCTGCAGACTACTGGTGGTCCACAGACCACAGGTTGGGAACCACTGGTCTACACTGAACATATAATGCACTTCAAACTACATTATTTGGCAGTGTAGATGCAGCCTGACTCTCTCCACAACCACTCACACTTGCCTATCTACATACCTTTAAGGAAAAGCTTCTTTTTAAAAATTAGTGCTCTGTTAAAAGCTTCTCTGTCTTCTGCAGTCATTTGTTCCCATAAATTTTGACTATTCTAGGTGAAATATATAAGCCCTTTCCTATTGTTTCAGCAGCAAATATTTTTGCACAAGTATTTTAGGATTCTAAGAATCATTTTCTCAATTTCCCTTCTCTAATTCACTTTCCCATATATATATATATATCATAAGGCAGAGGTGATTGGAAGTCCCTCAAATTGACACCATTCCCATCTATTTGCCACCATTTCTACAATAGCAAGTGATATAAGAACCTTAATTGTCAAAGTTGAAATACTCGTGGGATCCACTACTCCACACAACCTTCTTGGTCTTCCTTTTAGCAAGGGAACAGAACTGAGTTTACAGTCCAAATGGCTTACCTGGTTTTCCAGGATGTTTTCTAACTGCCCATACTCCAATACCCAATGTTTCTTCAATGCCAATGTCATCCCAGATAGAGTGAAGTTTTCCTTTAACTAACACACTTTCATGAACACACCTGTAGAAAACAGAAATTATCAGTTTAGAAGGAACTGTTCTAAAAACGATTTGCATGTCCCATCTACACAGCCATATAATGCAGTTTCAGAATGCAGATTAGCTGCATTGAACTGGATTATATGGCAATGTAGACTCATATAATCCAGTTTAATGCAGCTAATCTGCATTCTGAAACTGCATTATATGGCAGTGTAGATGTGGCCTTAGACCTCAAGTGTCGGAGGAGGATCCAGAGGTATTCCCAAGATACGTGTCTGCTCCTTCATAATGACAGCCACCCAGTCCAGAACACATGGATGGCCCAATTCCCAGTCTTGACTACTAATCTGCAGAGGCCCTGTTTTATCAGAATTGGCCTTTAGTTTATCAGCCCATATATTGGCCTTTAGTTTATTAGCCAATAATAGCATCCACCATTGGTCCAGCATCTACACAGCCCCAACAGATTCCAATGACAGCAAGAAGTCAAGGTGAGTGTCATCACCATACCAATGGCACCCCACCCCAAAACCACTTATGACCTCATCCAAAAGTTTCTAGTTTCTGAGAAAGCACCTTAATTAAACAAAGTGGAAAAAACAGTATAGATGTTGTCTTGCCTGTAGCGACGTAGGTCAGGACGTTGCCTGAAGCCTTCAACAACTATATTTCCCAGAGCTTTAAATCCTCGTGGACAGATCATTTCAAAAACAGTGAATTCATCGTCTCCTCCCTTGTTTGGAGGTCTCCAAATTCGACTGAAAATCCAAGATATAGATGTATATTGTTAGAAATGATAAACTTGCACTTATATCTGAAGGTTATTTTACTATAGACCATATTGGGGATAATTGGCTTATCGGACTAAGTGTTACATGTAGTTGAACCTGAGGTGTGCAAAGATGAAATGAGGGATATAGATTGCACTATTTCAGTAAGGTAGAAAGATATTTTATTTGGGGGGCAGGTCTCATCAACACCAGGAAAAAGTATCGTAGAGACAGTCATCAATGTAGGGCAGTTGACGTTACTGTATGTTGACAGTGTTTTAGCTGTTCTTTCAACTATACAATAAATACATCCTTATAAAGAACCTTGTGTTATTTGAATCTCAATTTTGAGGGAAATAAAGTTAATTTTTTTCGTGTCAGGAGCGATGTAAGAAACCATAATAAAGTTAATTATTAATACATTTTATTAATCAAGTTAATAAAAATTAGCCATTGAGATAATTAATAAATTTATTAATAATAAATTGTATTAATTTTATTAATAAAGTTAATAAAAATTAGCCACTGAGCCTCTTTGCAAGGGAACAACACTGCATTTTCTGACTGTTTGAAAAAGTAGGGTGACTGTATTATCATTGCTTTGTTTAGTAAGTTACTAAAGACCCTACATTGTTTTTTTCTATCTGCACACGTGTATATGTGTTTTCCTCCATCTCCTTCATCATATTCCATTCTATTTACAAGCATGGTTCACTCAAACTCTAGGAGCAGATTTTTCTGGTTTTACAGGAAAGTTAGGTCTTTCCAATAGACTAGTCTTTCAACATTTTTTGATCAACATTATAAAATCGGAATGGAGTCTGCTTTCATTTTTACTACATCCATAAAGGCCAACATAAAAGTTATTGTTTACTAATACATTGTCTCTCCCACACAGTGAAGTACCTGACTGCTGTAGGACGTTGAAGAAGGCCGTTTTTTTCATCCTTCACTAATAAAGGCCAGTTAAAAGGATGATTTGTACCTTTTGTCACCACATCGCCAATAGAAAAGTACTCTGGAAGAAAACAAGGGCATCAGCTAATGCAAATGTCTAAGATACTTCTTTGTTCTAATAAAAAGAGAGTAAATAATAGCTATTTTGTCATTCTGAGCTCTAAAAATACAAGTACTTTCTTGTGGCCAGTATCCAAGACTGGTACTGTGTGCATATAAGTGGGCGCACATGCCTTATTGCCACCCAATGAACTTCATACAATTTTCTTAGGCATTTTCGCAGTGCTTTCTTCTTAAAATGGCAACTGGTTTCTCCTGTTGCATCCAAGTACTAACTGGCCCTGACCCTGCTTAAATAATAATAAAACTTTATTTGTATTCTTCCCTATCTCCCCAAGAGGACTCAGGACAGATTCCAACATACAATGGCAAACATTCAATGCCTACATAAATCAAATAAACACTGACATAAAATTCCAGAAAAACCCCACATATGAAAATAACATTAAAACCTAACATCAAATTAAAGTCTAATGTCAATAAATTAAACCTAACATCAATAAATTAAACTACACATTGTAGGTGTTCATTCGTTCAGTTGTTTCCGACTCTTTGTGACCTCATGGACCAGCCCACGTCAGAGCTCCCTGTCGGCTGTCACCACCCCCAGCTCCTTCAAGGCCAATCCAGTCACTTCAAGGATGCCATCCATCCATGTTGTCCTTGGTCGGCTCCTCTTCCTTTTTCCTTCCACTTTCCCCACCATAATTGTCTTCTCTAAGCTTTCCTGTCTCCTCATGATGTGGCCAAAGTACTTCAACTTTGTCTCTAATATCCTTCCCTCTCTAATATCCTTCCCTATACATAGTCAGACAAAATTATATAATAACATAAACTCTAAACAAAACATCCAAATTTATTTACAACAACCAGCAAGGGTTCACAAAACGGTATGGGCTGGTTATGTAGTCAAATGAGGCCATTGGGCTGGTGTGGACCAGGAAAGCCCAAATACAAATAGTTCTCAACTCTGCTTAGCTTCTAAGATTAGGCAGAATCTGAAACTTTCAGGATGTTGGATTGACCAATTAATAAAAGAGAGAGATGCAAAAATCTTGAGCTATTTCTGCCACAAGATACATTTGCACATTATCTTCCAATGATTACAACATTAGACCTTTAATTCTGCCTGGTCCTCTCTGTCTTTTAGACTGTGGCCCTCTCATCTCTCAGCATTGCTGAAGGACTGGGGATGAAAGGGAGGGCAACTAAAGCTGCTTTGATTCTCAGCTTGGTGCGGGAGAAAAGCAGGGTAAAAACCGACTCAAATAAATGTCAAATGTGGCTCTTGGTTTAGCTTTAGGCATGTAGCAAAGTAGGGTTTGCTAGCACATCCAGCACTAAAGCTCTTTAGGAGTTCCTAGTACTTATTTCTTCTTTTCCAGGTGCATGTGAAGTGGTCATCCAATAATTGTCCGAGTGGGAACAGTTCTACTGGCATTACTAAGAACTTTATTTTTACCTGGATAATGGCAGTTCACATGCCAGAACGACAGAGGTCTTAGATTTTCACTAGTCTTGCCAACAAGTGCACGTTCATTACACAATCTGTACTTCAGTTTCGGTTCATGTTCTTGTTCTGTAGGAAAGAGCAAGAACAACACATGAACATGTGCAACTTTCATAAACCGGCAATTTAATCGTTTACTGTCTATTTATTTATTTATTTATGGCATTTATATGCTGCCCTTCTCACCCCGAAGGAGTCTCAGAGCGGCTTACAAGGTATATATACATACAATATATTGTATTATTAGCATAGTACAATATCAGCATTAAACATTGCTATATTGCACCATGCTGATTGGTGCTGTCTTGGGCTGATGTCTTAAATAAAAGGAACTTCCAGTTATCCCAGAAACTAATTGCACAAAGTTTTGAGCATATTACCACTTATTTATCCACTTGTTTACTTTCTACTTTTCATTCCAGGAACAATGCTCATGTGTTATGCTTGCAAGTGTACCCAACTATGTCAGAGAAAACTGTCTCAGGCCCCTTTCACGCAGCTGAATAAAATCCCACATTTTCTGCTCTGAACTGGAACATATGGCAGTGTGGACTCAGATAACCCAGTTCAAAGAAGACATTGTGAGATTTTCTGTTTTGATATTCTGGGTTATATGGCTGTGTGGAAGGGCCCTCAAAAGTCACCCCTAAAGTAGTCCCACTATTTAGAACACATGATCAGAAGATTACAGTCAATCTCAGGGTGGGGAATAACACTGTTGTGTTTCTATCTGATTTCTGTGGTTAGGACTTCCACCATGAAGTTTGACAAGACACTACTTGAGAGACTCTGAGTACTGCATTGGAGAGTTCCTACTGCTATCACTTGCAATGTATTGTGAGGAACACGCATGGGCAAACCTTGGCCCTCCATGTGTTTTGGACTTCAACTCCCACAATTCCTAACAGCTCAGATCCTTTCCTTTTCCCCAACCAGTAAAAAAAAAAGATGAAAAAATGGTGAGAAAACACAAGAGGGGTGCAAACTGGTTGCAATGTATTCTTGATCTCCCATAAAATATCATATTTAAGGCAGTGAAAGAAAACACCTCATGTAAAAGGTTTCCTGGACTTATCAAAGGAGTATTAACAACATGGGATATTCAAATGATGTGTCATAGAACCTGCTTATTAAAGAATTGAGATGTTTTTTAAATATTGATGTTACAAAGCCATGTTGAAATGTTATTTCTGAATTTAAAAAAAAACTCAGAAAAAGAAGGCTAGGAAATATTCCTTCCCAGGAGAAAGAGATCCATTCATACTACACAACAGCAACACGATTCCACTTTAATTGCCATGGCTGCATTCTACCAAATCTTCAGGTTTTTTAGCTCGGCAAGGTACTACAGTTCTTCAGTTGTGATTTACAAACAACCCTCCCTAAACTACAAATTCTAGGATTCCACAAAATAGAGCAATAGCCATTACAGTGGAATAGAAGCACTACAATTGTGTATTATGAGAGGTTCAGAGGAGAGAGACAGAAGAATAAAAGAAACAGGCTCAATAAAAATGAGGTTTCTGAATTCTGCAAGTGTAGAAGAACAGCCAGTTTTTATTGGAATACTTAAGGTCTGCTCATATCTATATCCAATTTATGTCGCTATGAAGAAACGCAAATATTGCAAAATATGATAACAATCTGTATCCTTCTGGCCTCCTTCTAAAGCAAACAAACAAGTATAACAAGCTGTATCCCCAAATGTTCTCACTATACATTTATTTCAGATCTTACGTATAATACAGAAATGGACAACTATTTCTGACATGCACCACCATCATTTAGTAGTGCATCTCTGGCAACTCCAAAATGATGTCATTTCATTCCACATATTTCCATTTTCAGTGGGCAAGCAGACATCGAAGCGAATTGGGAAGAACTAGACAAACCACTGCATTTTAAAGCTGTTTTGTGGCACTTGGGCTACTTTTTGGAAATTTGCACCCCAGGAATTGATTTGAGATTCTAGCGATTTGAGTGTTTTTTTAGGGCTTGGAGAGTCATAGTAAAGAAGTTGGGAGTTGCAACTTATAGATTTACTATTCATTTAACACTAATACAGTATGAGAATTGCTTACGTTTCTGGCACTCAATGGATCCTACAATCAATAAACAGAATACAGCAAAGAGCCATCGTGAGAAGTCCGCCATGTTTGCTGAAACCCCCAGACGGGAGGGATTCTGTAAAGAAAATCATTAAAATAATTATGTCTTCATCTGGCAAAGGCAAGTGACAAATTGATTTCCTGAAGCTCAGCCTTAGCTCAAAGTGGGAATCATTGCAGTTCCCTGAATTGTTGAAGACCTCACAACTTCTGAGTATGCCTGCCATAGATGCAGGCGAAACGTCAGGAGAGAATGCTTGCGGAACATGGCCGTACAGCCCGAAAAACTTACAACCCATTGCAGTTCCCAGCTGCCCTAGCCAGTATGGTCAGTGGCAATGAATGCTGAGAGCCTTAGTTTGGCAATATCTAGAGACAATTTCCATTCCTGCCTTTGATCACAGTGTCTTATAACCTCCTCACATCAGGAAATCCAGAACATCCTTTTCTAACAGAAATTGTACTGTGCATGCCAGAACCAATCAGCCGAGCAGGAAATGATTATATCTGCCATGTATGAAACAGCTACATGGCAGCAATGTATTCCAGGAATCTAAAGGAACTAAACTTAAATCGGAAAATAATTATAACTATTATCAGCTGGAATTCTGCTAGTGGAGCGGTTATTAGGCAATGCCCAAAAATGTCCTGATGGCACCTCGCTGTCTGAACATTTATGATGGTGTCTGGAGAAAGAACTGTTGGGACAAAGCATAGCCACAGCAACCAAAGTGGTGACATGAGATCAGAGTTACATTTCCATTTTATTGCAATTCATGTGGAACTTGTTGCTTTGTGTCTTTACGACTGATGGTAAGCCTAAGGCAGCCTTATTATGGGCTTTTCTGGCACTAAGACTGTTTGACTCACCCAATGGCAACATCTCAGTGGTGTCTTATACTCACTCAAATTACAGCTAAACCGAGCAAACATACATTTGCTTCAAATTGAAGTACATTTGGAGGGATGGCACTTTTCTGCATCCCGAGGCATCCAGCCTATTGCATGCTAACCAAGGTTGTGCAAATTCCTTCTTGCACTGCTGTTGCTACCACAGGATAACCATAGACAGAGAAATATAAACTACAGAGAAATCAGTAAAATAAAAACTTCTCCATCTCTATAAGAAAAAAATGCAAATATACCCTGTTTGTATATATATATATATATATTTTATATCCTGTCGTTATCTCAGAATGTGACCTAAGTCATCTTCCAAAAACAGTCATTTAAAAAAAATATAATACAATTTAAGTGCAAATAAAATTACTGTTATGCTAGAGAGAAGGGTTCAGATTAGTGTTTTCCTTACAACATCCATTCCTCCAACAGAAACTTGGAATTATACCATCCAGAAAAAAAAAGCTGTACCACTGGCCAGAACTTGCTATGTAACTTTGTCCTGAAGGACATATTTATTTTCTCCATCTGGATCTACTGGAACATTGAGCCATATACTCACCAACTTCTCTTCCTTGGGCACCTTTCCTGGGGATGACAGTGGCCAAAATGAAGGCCGAAAATAGCTCTTTAAATATGTTTTGTGAAGGAACCAAGGTGGATTTTGATTGGTGAATGTCATGTTGCAAGAAGGGGGTTGAAAATGGAAAGAGTCCAGCTAAAAGAATCAACTGATTAACAATTTCTGATTTAGCAATTGAAACCAAAGTTTAGAAGAGCTAATGATGCATTTGTATTGGCAGAAGATGGGACCTCTCTATTGTGTACAAATCTAAAAGGACACAGTGACAATGACCTCTTTTTGTGGTGCTGGCAGAATGTGCCAGGACTCCTGAGTTCTCGAAAAGTCAACAATTTCTTAACACTGAGGTTCAGCTTTCTGGTGACTTTTCATAGACTGTCACAGACAGTAGTAAACCACTACCTCTCTCAGTTGTTAGCCCACTTTAAGATACATTTGTCTTCAAGCAAATAAGGATGCTTGAACCTCATCATAGGGGTTCTGGTGAAATCTAGAATTATTTTATCGTTGTTTTGTTACTGTTTCCTTACTAAATAGATCACTGTATCCACGCAGTCAGTACAAATGCTGTCCTTGAAAACCATATTGACACAATTAGAAGGTCCAACATGGCAGAAAGCAATTGATGTTTGCTTACATTAAATATGGGTGTGTGATAACCCAATCTCAGCACGGTTTTTAGATATCATACTGAAATGTTCCAGAAATAATTCTTGGAATTGAATCTGTCTACAGTAGAGGTCATGGTAAACTGCATTGATATGGTCAATAGAACATGATCTAATGCATCAATGCGTATGTAATATAAAATGAAACCTAGGAAAGACAATGCTGTTTTCTGTACTAATTAGTAGTGAATTCTATAGAAATATGGACACGTTTCACAAACTGAGAAATATCAACATGCCGCCCGCAAGGAAACATTTGCCCTGTCCATGGATTCCATGCATTTCCATTTAAATGCATGCAGCTCAGACACACTGCATCTTACATGCATATTTCTGATTATACTGTTTAATTTGCTAATTCTTTTAATACTTTTTATTTTCCAGTCTTCTAGCAATTAGGAATATGTATAAAAAAAATCTTGGAAATGAATAAATCTATCAAAATTCCAGAGCCTTCTCTGTATGCCTCTTTATAAATGTTTGAATGTTGACAACTTGCTTACAGATCATGCAGTTGAACATACTACCCATATTGAGTTCCTATGCTGTCCGAGTAGGATGGCCTTCCAAGTGTAGTAAAAGAGTTCCTATGATTATGATGTATAATTGATTGTTTTAATTGTTTTAATTGCTGTTTATATATGTTTTATCTTATTGTTTGTGTTGGCATTGAATTGTGCCTTTTGTAAGCTGCCCTGAGTCCCCCCTCGGGGGTTGAGAAGGGCGGGGTAGAAGTGCCCGAAATAAATAAAATAAATAATAAATGCTGTGGGTAAGTTCCATTCATTGTGTAATTGTGTTTTGGATACACAGGATCGTGGAATTAAATACATAGAGAAACACCTCTACTGACATACAATAAGTTTCTACTAGGATTGGTTGATCCAAAAAAATGGTTCTAAACTCAGTTCAGAAGTAGGGGGGGGCGGTGTGCATGTGGTTCAATTCTAAAGTCACTTCGGCATTTTTCCAAAAAGATTTTTGAAACTTTCCGAAATTTTTGAAACTTCCGAAAGTAATGATCCAAACACTTAACTTCATTTTCTCATGCATTTTTCCATGTTGGATACATTGGATCTCCAATTCATCATTCCTTTTCTGACTATAAACACTGTCCCAGAGTTACAAACATCCAACTTACAAATGACTCGTAGTTAAGAACAGAGGAGAGACAACCGGAAGTGAGAGAACTCTACTCCTCAGAAGGGAAATTCACTCTTGAAGGAGTTATCATGGGGAAAACGTGTCTCCACTGAAGCTTTCTCACCAATCCTTGCTTTTGCAACAAGCCACATTTTTCAGAATCCTGTTATCACATGGACAGAAAGTGAGATGAAATATTCTGAACAGGGGCACAGATAGCAAAACAAACATCACAGGGGTGTTAAGCCTTCCCTATGCTAACCAAAGCTAAATAATATATATGTTTGGCTGGGGTTACATTTTTTAAATCTTCCTGTTCCGACTTATATACAAATTCAACTTAAGAACAAACCTACAGAGCCTATCTTGTTTGTAACTTGGGGACTGCCTGTATTTGGAGATCCTCAGATGCCTGTGGAAGACCTTACAACTGAAAATTCACAGTAAGGCATAATGGTACTACTATAAGAAACCTATCTTCTATCAAGGAATAATTTGCTTACTGTTTAACACAGGCTTCAATCCAATTACTAGTCTTAAATAGATTAGACCAATTGAATTGAAGAGATGTGTACAAGTGGCTGGATGAGCTCTGCATTACATTGTAACGTTGTTTGTGCTGTTTGGATCCAGAATGCCCCAAATACACAGTTAAATGAGATGGAAAAACCTATGATAAGTTGTATTTGGTGGGCTGACTTGTGCATGTTGGTTTCTGCAACGTGTACACAGTGTACAATGTTGTTATCTCATTAATATGTCAGAACACCCTGCCATTTTGAAGGATACATGTGTGCATGTTATCATTGACTTTGGAGCCTCAGTTGTTTAACAGTAGCAGACCTGAGATCTCTGATGTCCTAGATTCCACCACTTCAAGAAGCAACTTAAAGATATATAGACACAAATAAAAATACTGTAATCCTTACATGAATTTAGCCTAGAGCAGGGGTCCTCAAACTTTTTAAACTTTTCACAGTCTTTCCGACTATTGGGGGAGGGGCTATAATTTGGGGGGGAAATGACGAATTCCTATGCATGCTGCACATATCTTATTTGTAGTGCAAAAAAAAATGAGAGAACAATACAATATTTAAAATGAAGAATTATTTTAACCAAGATATACTTGTCAGAAATTCAGTGGGAAGTGTGGGCCTGCTTTTGGCTGATGACATAGTCAAGTTAATTAGGATTGTTGCTTTTGTGTGCTTTCAAGTTGTTTCAGGCTTATGGCCGGAATCACTGGGATGCTGTGAGTTTTCTGGGCTGTATGGCCATGTTCCAGAACCATTCTCTCCTGACGTTTCGCCTGCATCTATGGCAGGTATCCTCAGAGGTTGTGAGGTCTATTAGAAACTAGGAAAATTAGGTTTATATATTTGTGGAATGTCCAGGGTGGGAGAAAGAACTCTTGTCTGTTTGAGGTAGGTGTGAATGTTTCAATTTACCACCTTGATTAGCATTTAATGGCCTAGCAGTTTAAATGTGTGGCTTCTTACTATGTGGGGGAATCCTTTGTTGGGAGGTGATTAGCTGGCTCTGATTGCTTCTTGTCTGGAATTCCCCTGAGAACAAGAGTTCTTTCTCCCACCTTGGACATTCCACAGATCTCTAAATCCAATTTTTCTAGTTTCCAACAGGCCTCACAACCTCTGTGGATGCCTGCCATAGATGCAGGTGAAACGTCAGGAGAGAATGCTTCTTGAACATGGCCATACAACCCAGAAAACTCACAACAACCCATTATGAATTTTGTTTGCAGACTGACTTATGCATGCTGGATTCTGCAACCTATACACATTGCAAAATGCTGATATTAATGTGTCAGAACAACCAGGAGTCTAGGGCCCCTGCCACACAGCTCAATAAATTCCTACAATATCTGCTTTGAACTGGAATATGGCAATGTGGACTCAGATAACCCATTTCAAAGCAGATATTGTGGGATTTTCTGCCTTGATATTCTGAGATATAAGGCTGTGTGGAAGGGCCCTAGGACATCAGATATCTCAGTTCTGCTATTGTCCTATACTCCATCATTTCAGGAGGCAACTTAATGTTATATAATTACAAATGAAACTAATCCTTATATGAATTTAGTCTAAATACCATTTTGTCATCTCCATACTGTCCTGCTCTGGGAGAGGCGGGTAAAATGCATCTCTCCAAGTTTTGTCTGCAAATTGATTTTAATAACTTTACCTTCAGGATATGTGTATAAGATCTATACAAAGTAACTTATGTCAATGAAATACATCTTAATATAGATACAAATCTACAATGTGTCACAAAGTTTATGAATTCTGCAAACTACAGTGGAATAAAGTATATAAATGTAGCTTATTTCCACATGAATATATTGCAAATATCTACAGTATAGGTTTATATTTCTATTGGCAACTTTGTACGTTGTTTACAAACATGAATAAAGCTTTTAAAACTGTTTCATTTTCTATTGACATAAAAGCTGGGACAGGAGAAGACAGTCAAAGTTAGAAGATCAAAGAAGATTCTGGGAATTTAATTTATAGAGAGTATTTTTTATCCAGAATTCCAATTTAGAAATATTACAAAATCTAATATTGCCCACATGGGTGGCTACAATAGTGACGCCTTTGTGTTCTGATGGTTCAGAATGTACAAACTTTGTTTCATGCACAACAAGAGGATTATCTCCATGGCTGGACTTTACTGGTTTGTTCCCTGGGTTGTTTTTCAACTCTGATTCTAGGGCCCCTTCCACACAGTTGAATAAAATCCCACATTGTGTTGTCAAAGGCTTTCATGGACGGAACCACTGGGGGCCCTTCCACATAGCCCTATATTCCAGAATATCAAGGCAGAAAATCTCACAATATCTGCTTTGAACTGGGTTATCTGAGTCCACACTCAGATAATGTGGGATTTCTTGCCTGATATTCTGGGGGCCCGTCCACACAACTGAATAAAATCCCATATTTTCTGCTTTGAACTGGAATATATGGCATTGTGGATTCAGATAACCCAGTTCAAAGCCGATATTGTGGGATTTTCAGCCTTGATATTCTGGGTTAAATCATAACCTGCAAATTACTAAAACTATGGGTTGCTGTGAATTTTCCAGGCAGTATGGCCATGTTCCAGAAGCATTACCTCCTGCGTTTTGCCCACATCTATGGCAGGCATCCTCAGTGGTTGTGAGGTCTGTTGGAAACTAGGCAAGTGGGGTTTATATATCTGAGAAATGTTCAGG